AATTTAAGCAGTTATCTATAGTGACTTCTAAGTATTTAACTTTATATTGTTTGTTTTATGTTATGCACAAAGCTACACAATGGGCTATCTGTGCTCTACACACCGAGGGTATCGAAACCCGGTTTCAAGCGTTGTAATTCCGCAGACATACCGCTGTGCCATTGGGGGGCTTAACTTTATATATTCTGTTCACTTTGGAGCAGTTACATTGTTGGGGTAGAATTGGGTACAGTTCTTTTAATGAATGCTGAGATCTGCAGGATTAACAAAAGATTGAATCATTTAATAGTCCTGCACGTGAATATTTTCAAAACTGGAAATTGCGTTTTTTGCCAAAGAGATAGAATCATTTAATTTTTTGCTGAAATACTTGTGATTTTCTTGTGATGTTCCATGATACATATTATAGTTTAAGTTCTGGACTGAAACTCGGTAACTCAATCATTACCACCAATAATATACCGAATTATATGACATAAAATATTTATATTAAAACATGAAATTTTCTCTAATTATATTTCAGATTTCCATGGAAACACAGTTCACAAACATCTCGTAAAATGCTGATATGAAGTACTTTTTACCGAAAGAATAAAGCGGCTACTATTTACAGAACAGCAGGATTGACTGTCATTCTTATGACGTTGGAATTGAAAAGCACGTTTGGTAGCCTCACGTTTGGAACCCAAGACCCTCGGATACTCTAACCACTGAGACGCTATTCTGCAAATCTTTAATTAAAAATCTGTAATGGCATAATTAAAAGAAATGTGTGGGTAAAACGTGAATTCAAATATAATTTCAATCAACTGTTTCGATAAATATATAAAATGAGATAGAAAATTTCCCAGTCAATGAAAGTGATTGAAAATACTGTTTGTGATCCTCCAACTTTCAGGAAAACAGATGGTAACTGTTAGTTTGTCTTCTTTAAGACTTAACAAAATTAATTTTTTATAACGATACATATTTAATTATATTAATTAACGGTCAATTTTGATTTATAAAATGTTGTATCCGTTTTCATTTTTTTGTATAGATGATTATTTCCGCACCACCACTTACCCAATTAAATCACAAACATACTAGTTACTATCGCTTATACTAAAGTCAAAATTTCTTCTTTATGATCGCCAAAATATGAAAGTAAATGATAGAAAAGCGCTAAAATATTTTATAAGCTTTCTTACTGTCTTCGTTGAACTATAAGTAGTTTTCAGTAACGTATATAAACAATAAATCTGAATTATTATGCTACGCTTTAGAGAAAACATCGGTTGTGTTTAGGTTAATATCGTTTTAAAAAAGTTGAAAAAGTGCAGTATTTGTGTAAGGTTTGGTAGTTTACCAATAATAAATAAACTTAGTATTCCGAAAATTGTGTAATTTCGAAGTCCAAGTTCAAGGGAGGTCCAGTTCAATCTA